TTGGCCCATGACCAGCCACCGCTATTTCTGTGTGCTTCCTGCCCGGACTCACTATGTGCTTATTGATGCCTGTCCTGTCTCCTAATGAAGCAGAACCACCGCAGAGCAGCAGTGTGTTCATCTTTAAGTCTCCCAAAGCATCTCCAGGGCTCCTTGACAGGCATCCAGTACATCCGTGGGTACTGAAGTAAAACTCATCCTTGCACTCGTTACAGCAAAGGGATTTAGTAAGAAGTAGAGGTGAGAAGAAGTGAGCAGAGGCATAGAAAATGCCAGTACACCAAGGAAGAGAACTGTGAGGATAATTGCAGTGGTGCCTCGGTTCACAAACTTGATCCTTTCCATGATTCTGGTCGCAAACCAAGTCAGACGAGAACCGAATTCAGTGGTTTTGTTCAATGCTGACTTTATGGGGAAATTTGATTTGGCGCTCATCCAGTTTAGTTTGTGACTACAACCGAGGAGAGAATTATGTTCATGAACTGAGGTATCACTTGTACTGGTCAAGTGCAGGAAAACGTGAATCTGTGAGTTTTAATGGGCAGATAAGTGACCCAGAACAGTGCACTGCACACCTGTGTCTCACCACCAGCTCCTGTCAGTCTACCAAGTGTCTGTGTAGGCTGGTTTGCTCCGTGCTCTCTCCTTGCATTGTTGGATGCTTGTTCCTGTGCACGTCTTTGTCATTCCTGTGGCTTCACCGTTAGTCTTGTATCTTGTGGAACAAGTTTTACTGCTTAATTCCTTTAGATCAAGAGTGCAGTACTAGCTTAGCCCATGCAGGCTGCCGTAGCAGAAACCTCACACTGGCTTTGGATTGTGAACTCCCTCCCACACCCGCCCCTGTATTGAAGTTTGGGCCAGGCCCCTGAAGGGGTTCTGGGACCCATCCTGTTCCTTTACTTCTTCTCTTCCCTTGACTTCCAGCTACACTGAGGTGGACAGGGTTCTCCACCCACGTGAAGTCGCCATAATGTTCTGTGCTGTGTGGCCTCGTAGCCAGGGACTTTCCCTGATGGCAGCTGTGTGTGTAATGTTGGTCTTATTTCACCCTCGTGTACCAGGTGGAATTTACCAGCAAGGCACCGGGAGCTGAAGTTTTCTACTTAGTCAGGCGGCTCTTTCATGCGGTCGCTTATTACTGCTTTTTTCTTTGGTTTTTGTCCTTTTTACTTCACGTGCCTAGGAGTGGTTTTCATCACACTTAATCTTACTTGGAATTGTGTTTTTCTTCATTCTGTTTCTTAGATGCAAAGGCATCTGTTGCAGGGTGCTGCATTAGCTGCAAAGCGTGTCGGTAGAGCTCCCGTCTTCCTGCACTCACTGCTGGGAGAGGTGTGGGGGTCAACGACCTGCAGAGGGATTTGCAGCTGTGGGGCTCCACAGAGTAATAACGCGTGCACGCAAAGTGCTGGGACCAGAGCATCGCCGGCAGCAGGGACTGTGTGTTCCGTGATTACCGTTACCGTTTGGTCTGCGCTTCTCCTCTTTCATGCTAGTTCTCTTTCTCAGAACGAAGGAAATGTCCATTGGTGTCAAGTGAACAAAAGACCAAGCTGCCCTGGAAATTCTCGTGAACACTCTGAACCAAGACCAAAGTCATTAACTATACACTTGACAGATGGGTTTCGGGGCCCAAGGCTTATACTTTTCTCTGTCTTTTTCTTTGGAGAATTTAGCTAATGAATCTGCCACTTCAAAGGTCCCCTTCAGCTGAATCACTAAATGACTTCTGAGCTCTCTTAGGTGGTAAATTAGCCATGCAGCTCAGGTGGTAAAGTGGATAATAATATCCCTTACTAACACCTTGGAGAATGTTTTAGAGTTAAGTAAATTTTTCCTGCAAGAACAGACATGCTGTTCTTCAGAAAAATTGGAAAGTGTATTTTGCAGTGATACAAGTAGCAATATTTGCATGGAATACAGCTGAAAGGCAGAATGACTTTGTTTTAAACATAAAGAGTATACAAGGTAGGTGATTGTAATTTGACACTAAACAATTGATATTTTAGGAAATAACATGATATTTTAAAAATCATGGTTATGATTCTGAGAAACCTCATTTTTTTAGGCTCATAGGGAAACATTTATGAGTGAAATTGTGTAATACTTGCTGTTTGCTTCAGGATGATCTGAGAGGAACATGGTTAGGGCACAGGAGAAACAAAGAGGGCCAGCAGTTGACAACTATTTAAAAAGGAGAGTGAGATTAAAGGACCCAAGGTACCAATTGGTCAGCTTCTGTATACGTTCTTAATTATCTCTAATAAAATATATTTTGGAAAACATTGGGTAACTATTAAGTAATTTCATATCATCAGACTCCAGATTGGGAGAAGAAGCAAAAAAGACTAAATTTCTGCATTTTCAGGTTCCATCAAGACCCTCCCGTGGCTTAATTTCCTTTATGTCACAGGCTTTCTGTCTCACCCCCCAAATTGTGGGAGCTCTGTGTATTTTTGTGATGTATCAGTGATCTTTATGCCTGTTGCTATAAAAATTGACTAATTTCCGGCAAATATTATATCTGTGAGAACTGTTTTTTATTACAAGTTTTTCATAAGTAGTAGTCCCACCACGATGTTTGATACAAAAGCCTAAAGTCCTCCTGGACTCGGCCTTTCACCTCCTGCTGTGTGGTCTGTCACCAAATCCCCTGTGTTCCACTCAGGAGAAGACAGACAGATGAGCAGCAGTCCATGGAAAACATGCCTGGCCTCTGTAAGCCATCAGGAAAACGAAAGGTAAAGCCAGGCAGCGTGTTACCTCCCACGCTTTAAAATGCTCTTTCCAAAAAAGTGAAAGGTACGGGTCTAAGGGGATGGAGAAAAGGGAATGCTTGTTTTTAGCCGAACCTGTGTTAATCTTACCTGGAAGACAGCAGAGAGGAAAGGGTGTTCTCCAAGTGGATTCGTTTTTGGAACAGAAAAGGAACTCTGGCCCTCTGACAGCAAGAATACAAATTACCGCTGCTGTTACGGAGAAAAGCACAAGGCTCCTCAGAGCTACTGTATGGTCCACTGATTTCACTACTGTGGGCTTCTCAGGCAAAAGACATGAATATATAATAAAGGAAATGAAACCAATATTCAGAAGAGATATTTGCACTCCCATGAGCATTTCAGAGATGCCCACAATAGCTGAGATGTGGAATCCACCCAACAGGTGTTGGGAGAGGAAAACACTGCACACCCTTAGCTACACTGGAATCTAAGTAACACCCAGCTCATAGAAACACAAGAGCAGAATGATCTTATGTGAGGCCAGTTAGGGATGCAGTGTGAGGAATAGGGAGATGGTGGTCAAAGGATGCAAAGTTTGAGGGAGACACAGTCAGTTCCGGAGTCTGTTATGGATCATGGTCACGGTGGCTGATAGCAGTGTGTTGTAAGCTTGAATAACACTGAGTTAATACGTTTTTAGTGTTCCTATTACGAATGAGAAATGACATGCAGTGTTGTGTATATTAATTAGCTTGATTTAGCCATCCAGCAGTATCTACCTAGAGTCCTTTAAAACTATCGGGTTATATCCCAGAAGCACAGACAGCCTCTGTTACTCCTGAGACAGCCCACAGCCCCACTCCCAGAGCACACAGCGTCCCGTCCTGAGTGGCCCTCTCTGCCACCCGCACAACTGACATGAAGAGGCTGCCACCAACCCTTCGCCCACAGCCTGCTCTTTTGTTCCAGTTCAGTGCTTTTTCCCTGAAGAACTTGCGGGATTTTTTTTTTTTTTAATGGCCAAGGATGAACCCAGAGGCTGCACTAAGCTACAGCCCCCAGCCTTAAAAAAACAAAACAAAACAAAACAATCATTTTGAGACAGGGTATAGCTAAGTCACTACGTTTTCCAGGTTGGGCTCCAACTTTTGGTCCTACCTCAGCCTCCCAGAGTTTGGGTGACAGATAGGCACCACCATGGTCCACTTGAATGGTTCTTAAAATCAGGGCCATACATTCCTGTCCTCAAACAGTGACAGGGCCTTAGGTACAACCTAGACTCCTCCTCATGGCCCCCAAGGCCTGCGTGTGAGCGCCTCCCGCCTCCCGTTCCTACCCCACTGCAGTCTGTTCTCTCCGCCATCTGCATGTGCTCGGTCACTGGGTGAAAAACGAGTTTAAAATGGTGACCATGTGGACGTTTCCCCGCGTCCTGGTTCTGTGTCTGGATGGTGCCATCCTGGTCACAGCCTCCAGAGAGTGGTGCAGTCTTCTTTCATCAACATTGTGCATTTCCCATGGCTTTTGAAAAGGAGTCGCGTTCGTGCACTGTGCTGGAAGCTGTTCCTGCCGGCCGCTGTAGCATCCCACCTCAGCACTGACCAGGGCATTCTGCACTAGCCCACTTTTGTTTCCTGAGCTGGCTTTTATGAGCCTCTGAATAAATTAATTTTGTAAATGACCCCAGGAGCTTCCAGATCTTTTAAGGAATTGTTTTGTTCTACACCTCTGTGTTTGGATTCATTTTCTTAATTGCTCCTAAGAATGTGATGACTTGAGCTATTACTTTGCTGTTGGCATGAAAAACCTCAGGGAGAAGTACTCTACTTTGCTAGTGGTGTGTGAACTGCTAGATAGTATGTGTAAGTATTTCACAGGATCCCTCTTTGATCCTTTTGAAGTAGTCAGATGTATCCAAAGATTAGGGCTGAAATACTCCGTGGAAAGACTGAAAACCCAGAATCCTCTCAGGGTGAAGGCTGCCTCACCTGCCCTTCCAGAAGGGTGGCAATGCGCTTCCCTGGGGGGCCTGCTGCATAGGTCCCCTTAAACTCACCAGTGGAACGAGAAGCCTACGATTGCCTCTAAGGCACTGTGGAAGTATCCTGATGATGGTGCTGCCTGAGGCAGGCGTCTAAGTAGTTTCCAGTCATTGTGTTATCTTAAAGGAAGACAGCCCTTTATAGGGTCAGGAAATGAATGATACCATGTGCAAAAAGGAAAAGAAACTTAGTAACCGGAGCCTCCTTGTTTTCTCCCATCTGCTCTCTCTCCTAGGTACAACTTGGCCAAGTAGAAATCAAATGCCCTATCACTGAGTGCTTTGAATTCCTGGAAGAAGCAACTGTTGTCTGCAACCTAACTCATGAAGACTCCATCAAGTACAAGTACTTCTTGGAACTTGGCCGAATTGATTCCAGCACGAAGCCATGTCCTCAGTGCAAGCACTTTACAACCTTTAAGAAAAAAGGACATATTCCTACTCCTTCCAGATCAGAAAGCAAATACAAAGTAAGCATGTGCCCCATGCTGGGTCCAATGCCTTCTTATGGGAGAGCTGGAGAAGCCCCCGGGGCAGAGTTACCTGGGCTTCCTTGCCTACCCCTGCCCAGGGCCTGAGTCTTGCCTGGGGTTCCCACAGTGTGTGCTTTGGGAGGCCCGTGCAAAGAGTTTTTAAGGATTATATTCCAATTTTCCCTGTACTTTAATCGTGTTGAAAATTATTCTGATAATGCATTTGGAAAGCAGACCTTTCTGGAAAGCAAACCTTTACTACTGTTGCCAAATACTACATAAATTCCAAGGATTTTTTGAAAGCGTGAACTTGACCTTTTCGGTGGGCCCGGTGTAGTCTCGTGGAAGTAGAGCTCACTGTTGAGCAGCAGTCGAGTGCCCACCTGTGCTTGTGCTGTGCTCCATGTAGGGGACATGAAGGCAGACGTGGCACGGCCCCTGCTCCCTGGGGCCTGATGAGGTGTTAGGTCTGCTTTCTGTTACCCACAGTCAGCTCGGGAAGGCAGGGCTTGTCCAGCATGCGGGGCTGGAAGTATGGTCTGTGAACCACTGGTCCTGTTGGCTGTGGCCCGGGCAGAAGCACCAGGCAGTGCAAAGCCACACTTTTGGCCCAGAGACAGGGACAGGAGGGGTCCCAGTGGACTTGAGAGGCCACCTCCTCACCACCTCCCAGGAGCAGCACCTCGGGGAGGAAGCCTTGCCCACCATGGACTTTTGGGGACACTCAAGACCCGAACCAGAGCAGATGAGAGGGACACAAGCTCTAAGGTTATGACGGTTCGGTGTGTTTGGAAAAATGAACAAAATCTCATAAATCTGCATAGTCCTTGGGTCCTGGGGACCCTTGTGAGGGGCCAGGATGGCAGGAATGGCAGGTGGTGGTGCAAAGGATGAGTAGCACCTGTGGGTGCTCCCAAGCCCAGGCGTGTTGGGTCCTGGAAGTCTCCACACAGCAGCCCCGCGGGAGTCTGTCCCAGACTCTGCCTTACTTGGAAATCTTGGGGACACAAGGTGCCTGGCCATACCAGGACCCTCATCTTGCAGGTGTCTAAACCCCAGCAGATGGCTTAGGGCTGCAGTAGAGGGAGCAGAAAGCTGTGGGGCAGGGAGCAGTTTCTCTGTGTGGCTAGGGGCAGCTTGCCTAGCTTCTGGGACTGCTGGGCATAGCCTGCAGTCTGGGTGAGCCCTGCCAGGCTCCTGGCGAAGGGGTCCCTGCATCACTGGTCCTGCAGCCCCATGAGGAGCAGGCTGGCAGGCGCTCCCCCGTGCCGGCAGCAGTGAGCTCAGGATTTCTCATTTACTCAGAGCCCCGAGGTGACTGATTGCTCAGTGAAAGTGCTTAACTAGCATAGCGATTTTCATTTTTCCTTTTTTTCCCTATGATTTTGGTGCAGGCTTGTTTCTTTAAGGTTTAACTGTCAGGGAAAAAGGCTTTTTTGTTAATCTTACGTAAACCCATCATTTTTGAGGTCACAACATTGTGTGATGAAAATAAACTGTACAGTGCTCCTGGGATACTGCCCACATCAAGGACTGCTGTTACCTGGCTTTGTGTATCTTGGGGCTGTTCTAAGTTATGTTTAGTCCAGTCTAGGCTGTTAATGCTGACGGATGAGTTGCCTTTGGAGCACTTGTGTTCTATCACTTAGAATAGAGGTAGTTTGCTAAATTATGGTTAGAATGGGATACATGAAAAGTGAGACTCTAGTGTTGTGGAATTTGGGGTAATTAAAACGTATATGCAGCCAGGTGTGTGATGTAAGCCTCTAATCAAGCACTCTGGGAGGCTGAGGCAGGAGGATCACCGCACATTTGAGGCCAGCCTGGACTATGTAACTGACAGCCTGCCTCAAAAATCACCCTCTCAAAAAGCCAAGACCAAACCAAACCCCTGTGAAGCAAATTTTTATAAGTAAAACCACCATGATGAGCATTACTTTTTTGCTGCTCCTTATTACTCCTAGAAGAGAAAACCTATAGCACAAGAAGTACGAAATTCTCATCGTGTGTTGTTCAGCGTTTTAGGGAAGCTTTCGGACACTGATTTTTAATGTTTCCCACATAACATTTACGTAGTATTACTTACCACTCAACCCCAGGCTCTACCGTGACATGCTGGCCTCACAGGCCCTCACCTGCCTGGACAATATGGGTAAGGAGGGCACTGACAGGGCCACCCTGGCAGCCCCACAGCGCACACGGTGGCGGTAGACACCCAGAAGTGACAGAAAGGTCTTCAGTTTTTCATTTTGATGAGCACGTTCTATTTTGCTATATTTTTTAAACAATTCAGTCTTTGTAGTAATGAAGCCCATTTCCAAAATGGTGTAGCTCACCATGACTTTTATGAGTAGCAAATTCAAGAACTCAAATGTGATAAATTGGTAATAACAAGGAAAAAAAAAGGTTACTGCTCAAGTCTGACATTTCTGAGTGATTAGAGACTTTTATTATTTACAGCCTTAAAGGGGTTTGTACCTACTGATAAATTCCTCTGATGTTTATTTAAGTAGTACTACTTTTGACTTACCAAGTTAGAGCATCTTGATCTAAGATATAACTCTGGGCATTTATTACAGTTTTCTCTGGGAGCTCAGAAGCACTTACTATATTAGGTTAAACTCGTTAGAAAATGTCTCAGTGATCTTAAAGCTTGGGCGAGTGCTTCTCATGAATGTCATCTCTAATGTCGTCTCTAGGGTTCCATTTGAATAGTTTGTTGTAAAGACCACTTGTTGAAATTTCTGTACCCGGCAGAAAGAAAGACGATAAACAAGTTACATCTGTAAATAGAGGCGGACCCTCAGGCCTGTTGTGTCCTTCCAGGTCACCCCAACCGGGGCAACTCCCCTGGCAAGTGTTTGCAGCATAGAGCTTTTCTCACACTGTGTGAAACTGAGCCTGTTTTGAATTCCTTGTGTTTCTCTCCTTCCTTTGCTACAAGGTTGCCTTCAGTGTCCCATTAGCAATGCAGTTTCTAACCTAAATAGTTTCCCTGGAGTATTAGGGCAACACCAGCTGCTTATCAGTGCAGGGAACAGGTTAATGGTGGGAACATAACAATGTGGAGGTTGCAACTGCCCTGAGCTCATGAGATGCCTGCAGGCCTCACAGTGCCCTCCCTCCGCTTTTTCGTAGCAGTTACCATGTGGGGTCTTACAGTGTGTTAGTGGCGCCTTGGCCTTAAGTCTGTCTTTCTAACTCATCTCTAGGAGGCCCAGGTTTGCTTCACTCACTGCTGGCAACAAGCACTGTGTCGCACAGGGAATTCATTCAGGATTTATCTACTGAGTGCATTAATAAGAGGCTGACATTTTCATAGCAGTTTGGACTACAATAAAATAGGTGGGAGATGCTGTCAGCATATGAGAAGGATGGGAGGATAGGAGAGATCAGGAGGCGTCACTAAAGAGTGAACCCAGGAACCTGATGATGTGAGTTCACCCAGGAAGACGAACAGGGTTCAAGCTAGCTTTACACCCTCCACCTGCCGCATGTTAGCCCTGCAACCTTGTGGAGAGCTCGAGTACCTCCCCCTCGGGGCGGTGATGGTACCCACGTCCTCAGCCCATGGTGAGGGTTGGATGGAATCATACAGACAGCACTGAGCCTCAGGACTGACCTGGAGGCCGCACTCTGAGAGCAGAAGGGGTTGTGACTGTCATCACCATTGCCGAAGCAGGTGGGAGTCAGGAAGGGACAGGTGAGATGCATGAGGTGACTTTCACTCTTCTAAGAGGCCTAGGAGGGAACGGCTGGGTCAGATGGGGTTCCTGGCTTTAGGCTTCTGAGGACTGTCCACACTGATTTCCCTTCACCAGCAGTGCGGATGAGTTCCTCTCCCTGATAGGCTCACCGGCTTTTGTTACAGCTTCATTTCTTGACGACAGTTTCTCTGGGGTCATGTGGAATCTCAGAGTTGTTTTAATTTGCATTTCTCATAGTGGCGAGAAATGTCAAATATTTTTTCATGTATTTATTGCCCATTTGTACTTCTGAGAAGTATCCATTCATGGCAGTGTACAGTGGCACGCAGCCCTGGAAGCAGCCTGTGTGCCCATCAGCAGATGAGTGGGTGGAGCACTGCTGTGTCCTGAAGATACAGCCAGGCATTCATGGGTGCACTTTGAGACCATTATTAAGTGAAGTAAGTCAGATAAGCTTAAATACCACAATTTTTCCTCCAACACAAGAAACCCCAAAAAATGTTTATAAATGAAGAGTAAAATAGAAGGTAGATAAACAGTAGTAGGGAGACATTTTTCAAATGGATGGGGGAACAAACAATGGAAGAAGGGAAGAAAGGTGAAGGAGAGGACGGATAAAGTGAATTGAATAAAAAATGAAAATCGACCTTTTGCAAATGGGAAGGGGGCCGAGCATTGGAAGGGAGGCAGAGCAGGGGTAGGAGTCCAAAAAGAAAAACAATTAAGGATCACATGTACCAGCTCCCCGGGATACATGGAGTCATTACCTTCTGCAAACATGTAAGGCACAAGTGTAAAAAATGAGGTGAAAAGTGGATAGTGGAGGAAAGGTGACATGGCTTCATCTGGTGGGGCAGTATAGGGAGGGGAAGATGACCTCGCTTTGCAGTTGGCCTGTGGTGCTCAGCTAGCAGGTCTTTCAGGGGTCAAGAAGAGCTGCCCAGGGAACTGGGCTCAGGGCTGGGGTGCCCAGTACCTGGGGTCATTGGTATTGGGAGGTGGCAGAGGGGGAGCTCCTCCTGACCCCATAGCAGTGAAAAGAAATTGCTTTGGGAGATGAGAGAGGTGTTCTTCATGGAAAAGAAGGTAGGAGAGGATGGTGAAAGATTGAAGTGGGCTGTACCGAAGGAGGTGCAGTTCTAGGTTTCATTCACGTTCCAGGTATAGACGAAAAAATGACTTTTCATGCTGGTTTGGAGACAGAGTTGAACATCCTGTGTATCAATACAGGGAGTATGTTAAAGGCATGATTTCTCTTTATGGTTTCCTTGAAGAAATAATAACAATCTCAGTTCTCTTCACATGATTTTTGTTGTTTTGATTTTTTGAGGTGGGGTTGTGCTATGCATAGCCCAGGCTGGCCTCAAACTCACCACAGTCCTCCTGCCTCAGCCTCTTGAGTGCTGGGATTCCAGGTGTGCAGCAGCACACCTGGTCCTTTGCACAAGTTTTAAGCAGAACTGTGATTATGTACACAGAGATGTGTGATATCACAAGGTAGAAGGAAAGAAGTCAATAAAATGCACTGGAAAGTCTTGCTGTGTTCTTAAAGTGTGAGCGTTTTCCCTAGGAGCTCTAGGTAAAAAAAAAATCACATTTTATAAAGCTGCTCAAATATATTATTTGCTTATGTGGCACAAGAATTTCTGTGAGGCTTTCAAAAAACCTCTGCAGGTGGGGATTTAGCTCAGCGGCACAGGCACTTGTCTGGCAAATGCAAGCTCATAAGTTTGATCTCCCATACCAAAAAAAATAAAAAAACAAAAATACAGAAAGGCATTGATTGAATATGTTCCTCCTAATCCATATGCTTTAAAGTGTGTTTATGCTTCCTTTAGAATAAATGATTTGAGACTTTCTTTCCTTATGTGGAAATGCTTGAAGCCTGCAGAAAGGAAGGCGTAATTAGTATCCTCCTTTGGTCTTCTGACAACATTGCTTTAAGTTGACAGTGTTTACAGTTTGAAAATCAGCCTGTGAGGTTACCATAGCTTCGACACACACGGGGTTCTGCTGGGATTCGTGTATCATCGTGTCTGCAGACAAGAGAAAACAAGTGTAGTTTCATAATGGTTTGTTGGGGTAGATGCTGGAGGGAGGTGGAAATGAAGTCGTCTAGCCTGCTTTAAGGAAGCCAGTTAAGCAGAGGGTGTGTCACAGATGTTACCTTATGAGTCCTTGTAGTGCACAGCTGTGATGCAAGCCTACTGACTTTTCTTCCAGTGCATTTCTCCCTTCAGTTGCTAATGAGATGCTTTGCTAAGCTTTGTTGTTCTTTACTTGCTTGATGCACAACGTAGCTGTGATAATTTAGGTTTCTTGCACGAACTTCAGCTTTGCACAGAGCTTTCAGTAGTGAAAGTCATCTGATGTTTCGGCCTGCACCAGGCCTTAAAAAAAAACCCCACTGTAAACGATTATGGTAATTGAGACCTACAGCTACCATATTTTGACCTGCAGTAGAATCGAGGCCGTTTTGTTCGTATTTTTTTTTTTTTTAACTCCGTCACTTGTAGCTGTTGGTCGTTAGCAGAAGAAGCCAAATGAAGAACCATTTCTCTCTGCTGATCAGCTAGGGTGGGGCGGGGAGGGGTGCTAAGGTAGCCAAATCTGGTGCTTCTTATAAAATGGTAGAAGAGGAAGAGAAGCTGGAAGAGAAGCTGGCATGGTGCATCTCTCGTCTCCCAGCCTTGCGCTCCTGCATTTCCTGGTTTGCCCTCTTACCAGTGGACCTGAAGGAGCTGTCTGCACCTGGAGCCTCACTTCTGTGTTCCTCCCCTTCTCTTGCTGTGAGGCTCCCCCTGAGCAGATCCTTAGCTGGACGCTGGTTCCCTTCCTGTTCCAGAACAACACTGTAATGTGAGAAAATCCACTGTCACATTCAGGTCGAGGTGTCTCTCTCTTTCCTTTCTTCCCCTCTCCTTCTCTCCTCTCCTCTCCCCTCCCCTCCCCTCCCCTTCTCTTTCCTCTCCTCTCCTCTCCTCTCCTCTCCTCTCCTCTCCTCTCCTCTCCTCTCCCCTCCCCTCCCCTCCCCTCCCCTCCCCTCTCCTTCTCTTCCCTCTCCTCTCCTCTCCTCTCCTCTCCTCTCCTCTCCTCTCTCTAGCCACTCACTCCTCACAGAGAATGGCCCCATTTCTTCTTGCATACCATGAGAAGGGACCTTCTGAGTCCCTTCTCATGGTATGCATGGGAGCTCTTGGCATGGGAGCTCCTCCCGCTCCCTCCAGTGTGCATCTCTCCCTGCTGTGTTGTGTTCCAAGCAGACCCGTTGGAAGCACACGACATCACACTGACTGACTGGGAGTTCAGGCCACACAGGTCAGGCAGAATTTCCCAGTACCCTTTACATTGATCAGAACTTCAGACAAGAAATGAACTTCACCAAGTGTTTTCCTGTACTTTGCTGAGGAGCCTGGGTCCCATGCTTGAGAGTGTTTCCAGGTAGGTGGATATGAACAGTGGCTGCCAGGGTAGAGAGGGGTGCCTTCCAGATGACCCCGTCCCCAAGGCCTGACCCCCTCCACAGAAGCGCACCTCTGTGTAAAAACAGCAGCAAAGTGGAAGGTCTATGCTGCTCAGACTGCATTCGGTGTGGTGTGCAGAGCCGACACTGCGGGGTGCCCAGTCTGCAGGGATTCATGCGGATCCCCTCTTGATGGAGCTCAGCTTGTTCCTTCTCACTCTGTAGTTTTGTCTGCTCCCGGACCCTGGCCCTTAGGAAAGCTTTTCTTCCTTTTCCTAGCTTGATTTCAGCTCTGCTACTAGAGAGTAGGCAGAGCTCGCCTGGCCACCTCTGGGCCATGTGTGATACTGCCCCATCATCCATGGGGACCTTCCCAGTGTGTGGTACCTCAAGGAATAAGACCTGCAGCAAGAATCAAGTCGCACCCACCTCGTGGAGACCCTTAGCTCTGGCAGTGCGGGGACTCAGGACCGATGTTAGAAAGAAGCAGAGCTTCCTGGAGCTGTTTGAATTCTCCTCCTCTCTATCATGCCGCTCTTCTTCCCACCCTCTCCTATGTGGGAAAAGCCCCCTCGGTTCTGGAAGAACCTTTACTATGCTAAGGGTGCCCTATGGCTCCCTGGCCTGACAGCTGTCTTTTTCCCGAGTTCCCTAAGTAGTTGCTGGACCACAGTGTGTTTTTACCGGCATGTCGAGGTTCTCGGAACTTGTCAGCTCCTGTCTGTTGGGGATTTGAACAAGATTCGGCCTGAGCTGGCAGAAGTGATGCATCCATTGGGCTGCATTGGAACAGCTGCCTGCTCCACAGATGTCGGTGTTGACTCAGGCTGGATACAGCTCCTGCTTGGGCCCCTCGCTTCTCCCACCAACATTCCACTCACTGTCCAGGTCCCGTGCTCTCTGGAGACTTGCTCTCCTCCCAGCCTTGCTGAAGCATGTTTCTTAAGAAACTGGTTCGAGTTTCTTCTGCGGAGCAGTACACAGTTGCATTTGCTCTTGGGGTCTGTGTGTGGCCTTCAGGTCCTTAAGGTCAGGCTGTTCTCATTCTCTGTGTCTGCTGGAAATCAGTGTGGTCAGTAGCCTTGGGATGCTCCCCATAAATACTTGATGAATGGGCAGATGAACTGATAGATGTGTTTCATTATTGAATAGATTACTGAGTATCTGTTCGGCCTGAAGTTTTAAAAAACAAATTCCTCTTGGCAAACTGTTAGCTCTTATCTCCCGAGTACTTGATTTATGCATAGATGTTGTCTAATACCCTAAATATAATAAGCAATGATTTTGTGATTTAAAATGATGATATATAAAAAAGTATATAGAATTTAGTGGGAAATAGTACCTGAGGGGGAAGCTCTTTCCTTCTGACTCTGTATTTGTTTTGTGGTTGCTTCTTTCCTTGGCATGATACATGTCAGGAGAACACACTAGGTCCTTAGGGTGAGCAAGCTACTGTGTGAATCTCTGGAGAGTGCAGTTCCTGTAAAATCTAATGCAATTCAAAATTCCAAAATGTAAGCATGTTGTTTTTAGCTGTCCTGGGTTCTGGAGCAAGTGAGTCAGGATTTTTAAATTCCAATAACTTGATTCTGGAACCATTTGGAGCTTTGCCTCTTCTAGAAGAATTTTCCCATTGATTCTGACACTCACTAAAATGTCATTGTGACAAAATAGTTTGTAAGCAAAGTGTAGTAGTCTAGGAAACAAAGTCATCCCAGCCGCTGGTAATCAATTAGATGTTAGTTTTCCTTTAAATTCACTTACTTCATTAGGTGAGTCCCATCTTGGAATGGTTTTGCTAATCCGCCTTACCCTGGGAGTCACGCAGGCTAGTTCAGTGCGCCCACGATGGGCTGTAGCTCCTGTGTCTCACTGCTGGGCAGCTCTGGACCACTGTTGGTCCACACCTGACAGTCCTATTGGGCGGCAGTGGGCAGTCTTCATCGGTGGTGTAAGCCACCCAGTGGGACAGCCAAGCAGATCCCCCCAGTGATTCCAGCCAGCGGGAACTTGATAACCCCCCACCAGGCTTCACGGCTGCCGCACTGTAAGCTATGAGTCGTCATGAAGAAAGATATTGAGTGTGAGTAAATGTTTCCGCACAGCACATAACACGCGGGCCTTGGAGCCCAGCAGGTGTATTTCAGCTCCTTCCCTGCATGTACTTAACGGTCTGCTCACTCTGAGCCTTGGTTTCTTCCTCTCACCTGCCTTCCTGCATAAGTGTGAGGGCCAACAAGAGCAAACATATGGCCACTGGTGCCGTGGAAAAGCCTCCTCCCCGGGCAGCAGCGTGCTGGACCTGGCAAGGCCTGCAGCATCCCCGCCACCCTGAATATTCTTCTTCCTCCCTCAGGTCCAGTGTCCCGCCTGCCAGTTCGTCTGGTGTTTTAAGTGCCACTCTCCTTGGCACGAAGGTGTCAATTGCAAAGAGTACAAAAAAGGAGACAAACTGCTGCGTCACTGGGCCAGTGAAATCGAGCACGGGCAGCGGAACGCCCAGAAGTGTCCAAAGTGCAAGGTGAGCAGCCTGGAGCTGGAGGGAGACCAGCGGTACAGGGCAGTGGGGAGGGAGCCCTGGGGACGCTGGGCAGGTGCAGGGGAAGGCGTTTGCTGTGTCCACAGCGTCCTGGGAGAGTTAAGGGAGAATTCACCCCAGTGGCACTGCCCAAGGGGTGCCTTTGTCCCTGTTCTAGCCTGTGTGTCCCTCCGGCCAGGGTCACTTCAGCCAATCCAGTCTCATACTGAACAAATTTGATAAGATTGTCATTTTTACATTTCCTGTTATAAACATTATCTTGTAAAAGAAAAATAGGCAATTTTTGATCATCCTGTGTTTAAAATAATTGGACTAGAAAGCGTTTTTAAAGCTTTGCATTTTCTTATGTAATGATCTTTTTCTGGGGAACCTTAAAACAATATTTCTCCCCAGAAGATATTGCTATATTTGCAGCAGATATTAAGAAAATACACTGAAAAAATTAGTATTTGTTGTATACCCTAAGGCCTTTTTCATACATGCATTAAAATGTATAAACAAAACAAAGATGAGTTTTATTAAATAAAGGTTTCACACAGAATTCCTTCATATGAACAAAAGTACTACCCTAAATCTTCATATATAGTCTTTCAATTTTGATTATCAGTTGTACTTAGTTTTTTTTTTAAGAGAAAAAATTAAAAATAACAAAGTGGAGTTTCCAAACAGGCTAGTAGGAGAGTAACAACGATTAATACATTGCATATTGTTACATTCACGGTAGTTGTTCAGAGTACAAGATACAGGCACGTTGTCCAGACAATATTAGCACAAGCTTTTCTTTTCAGTGAACTGAGAGATCCCAGCTGTGTGACTGTCCTAACTACCTTGGGGTGTGTATATATATATTTCCCCCTTTTCTTTCCTTCCTTTCCCCAGGGTTCTGTCACAGTTTTTCTTTTCTTTTGGATATATACTTTAGGACATATACTGCTTTTTGCACCTGCAATGGGTACAATATCTCTTAAGTTAATGCATAATTGTAATGGTGGTTTTGATTATGATTTGCTCATTTTATTTATGAAGATCATAAATGTGTAACAGATATTTAAGAAAAAAAAACACTCCCCCACACCTGCCGCTCTACTACACTGTTGACTTATTAGTGCCTCTCCGTGGTCTTTGCCCTACTTAAATTATTTTTAAAGGTTTTAATTGTGTTATGCTAACCATTTGATGCCATTAGGTTTTTCATTTAAAAGTCCAGTTAATTCTCATGTTACTAAAATAGATTTTAAATGCTCCTTTCAGTTAAGTGTGTGATACTTGCTTAAATACCCTTCCACTGTTGGATACCAGTTCTGGTTTGGTTTGGGTTTGGATCTGTATGTTACAGTGTGTTGATGATGTTTGTCTTGAATGTATCTTTTTAAACATATTGTGCACTTCTGAAACCTGTACTTCTGCAGATACAATCACTGCATGAGAGGATATTGGTGTTCTGAGCTGTGGCTACATATCAATAGTGCTTCCTGGTGGAAGTAAAATAATTTTTAGTTCCACCCAATAAAAGTCTGAGAAGCTGTGTGAGCTTTTCTTGTTACCATTAAAATAGATTTTAAGCATTTTAAGGATTACAATTTAAGTATTTTAATAATTTTTAAATTTGTCCTTTCTTTACTTGCTTATAGGCTGAGTATGAGTGTGTGTGTGCTTTGAGTTTGTAATACGACTTTGTCAAATTTTCTGATAACTTCCTTTGGCCATTCATGTGGCTTAGGTTGGGATACTTTTTTTTTATTATCAAACTCTCTTTCTGACTTATTTTCTCCATGTATCTTCCCTATCTCCTATCTATTTCTTCCTACCCAGTTGATGAGTTTATTTGGTGTTTAGTTTGGTTTGGTTTGGGTTTTAATTTAGTTGGCTTGCAATGAAAAAAAATTTTTTTATCTGGCCAAAATATTTCCTTTTGGACACAAACATCGTTAACGCATATTTTAAAAATATATTTACTTACCTTTTATATTTTGCTTCTTAAGTTTCAAAAGTCATTACCATCTACAAGTTTGAGTAGAAAGGTCTTTCTTCCTTTCTTTTAACTGATTTCTAAATATTTTATACTTTTAATCTACTCACAATTTTTGGAATATATTAGTTATCAGATACTAAACTAACATTTTTTCAAAGGAAACCACCTAACGCCATGGTGTTTAATAAATAACACTGCCCCTAAAAGTTGGTTTATAATTTCTCTGTAAGCAAATATTAAATTATAATTATGTAACTTCTTTTCTAAGCCCTCTAATCTTGACTGTAAGTTTTTAAGTAAATTCTACATTTGCACTAGTAAGTTTCAAGCGCTTGTTTCTTTGCAGAATTTACAAACTCAAGCAAAGTTTGATAGCCTATTAATTCCTTGTTTTTATTTGAATTCTAAGTAAAATAAACTCTTTTCTCTTTTTACTTATAAATATTACTTTTTCCATGATAAATTTTTACTTTTATTCTCAAGCTGAATGACCAATTTGATATGTGGCATGGTAATAGACAAAATTTAACTTACGCTAAGATGTCAAAATTATTGTTTATAATTTTGACAGGTAAAAAGTATGTGTATTAAGTTTTTCTTCTCATTTACTATCAAGATACTTAATTCATAAGTGTGATTTTTTATATTAGGATAAATAAAAACAGTTCTGGAAATTACTTACTTATAAAATACTTTTAAGAAAATTTAAGGACAACCTATTAAGATGAACTTAACTACTTTTGTTTGTATGTCATTGCCTTTTAATGCAGTTTTCTTCTATGAGTTATGAGACACCATTTTAATCTTAAAAATAAATTTTCTACTTTATATAAAATTCTTCACCCTACAGAAAACACACACTAATTTTAAAATATCTTGTTTGAATTTAGTTATCACAAACTAAATCTAGTTTGTGATAAATAAATTCTTCTTAAGTAAAATTAAATTTAAAGCAAGTAGAGAATTAAAATTTTGTTGGAAATACAGAATCTGTTCAGCTTCATGGAAAAATTCTTTTTGAGACAGTGATTAGGTGAGATACTGGAATCTGAGTTAAGAAAAACTTGCTAGGTTAAAGTGAAAAGTAAACCCCACACTTAAAAAGAATAGGTATGAAAGTATACAACATAAAACCAATAAGAAAATACCATTGTAGGCAGTTTTGTACACATAAACGTTAGCCTGCAACTGTTAGTGAAACTATTAGTTTTTAGTGCCTGTTTATTTTTTAAAACAATGTTGAGAATCCAGTAATGCTTTTTAAAAAAATTATAATTAAATAACACATACTATATAATTTATCAGCCTTACTATTTTAAATACAAATCGTGCTTTTTAAAATTTTGTGTTTTAATTTGAAATTCTTTTTTAAAAACTAGTCAAATAATGAACACTCTGTGTGGTTCTTTGAGTGATATAGTAGTATACCACCAGTCAATGCAAGAAACAAAGTAATATTTCGTTATTTCCTTTTTTCAGAAAATGACTGCCTATATCATTTTGTTTAATGCTTTTTAAAGAAACTTTTAAATAAAATACTCATTTAATTTATTAACAAATGTGTCTCGGGTAATATCCTGCCAGATACTTCTAAAGGTGTTAATAATTTTGGATTCTAAAATTAGAAATCCCTATTGTTATCTAATATTCTAATAAACATCAGTAAAGGTAAAGTTAAGAATATTTCAGGAATGCAGGTAATAACCTTATAAGAATGATAAATGAGCTAATCTAGTTGTTCCTTTAAAGCTCTACCATTACCCAAGAACAGTAGTGTTACATGTCTTCTAATGGATAGATTTTTAAGTCTAGCCTTAACCATGTTTTTCCTCTCTGTAGTCTCACACTGGAAAAACCCATTTTTCTAAAGGCCAGATCTCAGACCTCCTGAGTATACAGTACTTTCTAACATACAAATTGTTGAAATACAGGTGGACATTTCAGGTCCTTCCATCTGATGCATCAAGGCAAATGTAAACCAAGCAAAAGTTAAAATGAGAAACATTCACTAAACACATGAGGCACTGTCTCTTTGAAACATTGCAGTGTGTTATCATTAATGATGTGGGTGGTGAGTCTGTGTGGCTGTTACATTGTTATCTACACTTTTTTAAATATTTGAAATAGTTCCTGATTAAAAATCCATAGACTGACCAGGAAGCAGGAGGACTGTAATATGACATCTTTTTGGAGCCTGCATAGTTTACAGAAAAACAACTTAGTTTGCTCCAACAGCCTCAGGGACTTGGCTGGTTTGGGCTTTGAGCTTTTGTTTTGTTTGTGTTTTGTTGTTTTTTGGGTTTTTTATTTTCTTCTTTGCGTAAAGATTAAGTATTGCTCAGCAAACTGAGCTAACTAAGCAAAGTTGGGGTTAATACTTCCCCAAGAAGTTTACTTTTTGTTAAATTTTAGAAGTTAAAATGGAATTCACCAGACACTGCCCTACAAATTATCTTCTTTAAATGTCTGATTATAGAAATATTTACATAAACATTTATGTACTGGGATAGAATGACCGCCCTGACTTGCTCTTGTATAAATAAACTTACATTTCTATTTCAGACATCTCACAAGGTACTGATAAAGACAAATCACTGGTAATTAACACGTCTTCTTTGATTGGTTTAGATGTGTGTGGTTTTTGAATTAATGGCTCAAAATTAATTAGCTCAGTAATGCCATCTTTATTTTATTAAAAGAAGATGCCTAAGTCCAGTGCTGTTTCTCAGTGGTGTTTGCACAGTGTGTGTTATATGGGGACTTGTACTAAGGTGGTTCCTGAGGCGTCACTCCAAGAGGCTGATTTCCCATGTGCCACCCCGATCTTGGTCATTACCTTTGGGTAAAAGTTTAAGGCGTTACACAGGAAGAATATGAATGACAATCTCAGTAGTGTGTAAATTGTTATCTCGGTTAATTCACAAAAGAAAGTTGTAAGGAAGGGGTAATTACTAACATTCCAAGCTGTATAACCAGTTTCGGGGAGTTCAGGTAACAAAACGTAGGTAAA